TTCAAAATGGAAATGATTATGCTTTTTGGCCCTTATGCATAACCTGCTGCAGCTGTCTCCACACACGCAGTACAATTTGTCATCTTGTGACCTGATCTGATGAGAAACAGATTTGCTATCATGTTTAGCATTTTCCCAGATGGACAGAATTAAACTAAAATAGGAAGATACTAGCACTGAGACATAGCAATCACTGTCATAGACTACAACTGAAAATAAGTAAAAGGGTGATAATTTGAAGAAGTACAAAGATGATAATTTGAAGAACGTTCTGACCATAAACATGTACAATAATAACAGCAGATCCATAGTGAATATACAGTTAAATCCTGGACTTTTTTACAATATCAGAGAATATAAGTGAGGAAAATACGATGGACACTTTGCACACAGCTGCTTTTGCATTTTCAAGAAGTACACCTGGAATTTAGACTACAAACATTTTTGATTACCTCCATTTAATAAAAGAAAGTAGTTTGAAGATGCAGCATTTTATTTACAGAGCATGCTGTGTCTAACAGTTCTCTTTAAGAATAAGCTGTTAATTGACTTCTCTTTTTATCAAGTATTTGCAGAGTCTTGGACAAGCCTGTTATGAACATGCTCCCTACAACAGAGAGCAGAATTCTTATCCTTTTTTTTTCATAATGAGATCATGAACAACATTCATAAAAATAATGAGAATATCATTACAATATCTAATACTGTATGTAATACGTAGTACGTATAATTTATTAAACTCAACAAAATGGCCTGAAAGCTGTAGTGTATAAAGGTAGCTTATGAACACATGCGTAGAGCATGTGATTCAGTTATTTGGAGTGTTGACTAGTGTTTTCATAGCATCAATGTTCTCATTGGACTGATAGCCTTGATAAAATATACAGGTATAAACTCATTTTGCAGAATGGTAAGGAACCAGAGTGTCCAAGGATATTGATTTAGTAACTGGAAATGGTAAATGTTACCTAGCAGAATTTTAAATCTGTGGTCATTTAATTGATTCTGGTTGGCACTTGAACTCAGCTATACTTATATGCCAATCTGTTATTCTCTTACACTCTATAAATATTACAAGGGCTGCAAAAACATGAGAAATATTTTGTGTACATGATCTTAACCAGTATTATAAATAAGCTTATCTTTCTAAACATAAGAATACATGGGTCAAGTATCTACTGGAATGTGGGGATAATGAAGAGCCTGAATTACGCAGCCCCAGAGTATTCAAAGTTATATTAGAAAGCCCTACTTTATGGGGGGAAAAGTTTCTTCCAGCTTTGTAATTACAGTGTAGACTCAGAATACACTGATTGCACGCTCTGCTAAAAGCAGGCCATCCTTTTCAAGTCCCTTCCTCTTTGATGTCTGTTGTTGTGACAATTCCAGGGAATTCTGGTTTTCAGGTAGTTTCTTTTTTACTATAAATCGCTATTGGACTGTGTCTCCTCTTCCTCATTCACCTTGAGAAGCTTTTCTCAACAAACTTCTTGGTCTTTCCATAGCAGCCTTGCACTGTACTACAGTTTCACAGTAGGTAATGAAACATTTCAAGCCTCCTAAGGAGTAAAGGTGATCTATTTCAGAATTCACACTGTCTGATATGCATTGCTGTTTGCCCCTGGACTAATAAATAACCCAGCATTCCACCAGCTTTTCCTGCCCCCGCACCTTTCAGTGGGATGCTGCTTCTTTGGTATCCTCCACACAAGCCTTCACTGACATATTTCGGCTCTTGCACAAGAATGGGATTTTTTTGAGCCTTCTCTCCTTCCCTAGCTTTCAGTAGTTACTTTCTGGAAGAACTGTATTCACCGTTTTGGCAACAGATAGTTGGTTCTATAACATTTTTTATTCTGTTACTACTACATTCAGACAGATGTATGGGATATTGAAATTACCCAAGCCTTTCTGCAGTCGAATACTTTTTTCTCTTTTATTCCTGTATGGTATTTTCTTTCTTCTATTCATGTTCTCAGTTGGTATTATAGCGGAAATGTCCTCAAAATATAATAGAAACAGAAGAAGCACCAAGCACCATTTGTCTTGCATTTGCAGAACAAATGATGCCTGTGCAGATACCATGCAGCAAAATGGTATTATAAAATCCTAATTCTACACTGTGTTCAACAAGAAAAAGAGCTCTCTGCTGCTTGCAAACCCAGTGTGGTGTAAAGTGGATGGAATATAGACTGTTTATTATTACTTCTTTTACTAAACAATAACATAAAAATGTGGGAATTGCTAGCATTTCTCTTTTACTAGACATTTCTGGGTAACTCCTGCATACACATTGATGTACCTGCATAGCAAGTTGCAGGGAAGACCTTGTCTAAGGACAGTCCTTGCTGAGATGCTTGGGTGCAGATGAAGTCTTCTGTTTGGTGGCAATGATTGTATCACCTGCATTCTGCAGTTAAGTTTACCTAACTGCTGCTAGCTTAGCTTAATACTGAAAATTATTTGAGCGAGGGGTGGAAACGATAGGTACTCTTTTCTCTAAAGCTGGCAAATGCATGAAGGGTATGGGTCCAACCCTCGTATCATAGTCCCGAGTATCCCAGCACAGTGGGTCCCCCAGAAATTGCAGGACACGCTTTTACTAAGCTGCAGTGGTCCGCATAGGAGCTGATAATGTGGAGTATTGATTTACAAGAATCATGTCACAGTGGCACATGTTAATCAGTTTCACTGGTATGTGGCAAGACAAGGGAAAAATTACCTTAGCGCTAGATTTTTTTCTCCAAACTGTAATGACAGTTATGGTCTATGAGAAAATTCTTGCATGGAATATAGAAGCTGAGTGCCTGAAGAACTGCGCTGCGCAGGAGAGGTCTGTCCCTTGTGTGGATGAGGAATATCCAGCTGGGTGCATGACTGCTTTTTGCCGGGAGAGGTGCACCGTGATTTTTAAGTCTTTGGAAGCTCTGGGAGGCAAAACCTTTCTTCAAGCTCTCACTAGTCCAAGGGAGGCCTGCATTGCCTCTTAGGCAATACCTAGTGCCAAAGCTCATCTCAAAAGTCTTTCCTGCTCTAGTTACCATACGCTATTACAGGCTTCATTGCTGTATTTGCTTTGCATGCTTTTTAAAAGCTATTTTTGTAATAGTCTTGATTATGGGACCTTGTTGTTTTCCTTCTTCCACTGTGCATTCCACTAACCTTTTTTTTTTTAAGTTAAAAAGGGGAAAATAGCAGATAGCAGCAATGTGAAACTGTGCTGACAAAAGGAACTCAGAATAATGTAACTAGAAATTGAGGTACAATAGCTAATGCCACATCATTTTTAAAACAATTTTTTTAAAATAAAGACCTCACTGATAAAATAATAGTGAAGTTCTTGATACTTTAAACTATATTTTTTATAAGCAGATATTTTTGCTAACTAAAATGTTAAATATGTACTAATAACATATTGTGTGCTGAGGCCTGTATTCTGGGATGTATTAGTATTTTATTTGCAGCTAACATTCCTAAACAGTGATCTATTAGTAGGTATTAAGAGTGTAATGCTGCTATACCTTATAGCAAAGAAAAATTCCTGTGAGTTTTTCCCTAAAGGAGATGGTGCAAGTCCCAGCTTCTTTTCTAAATTTGAATCTTTCATAAGATCTGTACAGCGTACTGAAGTAGTATGTAAGCAGGTCCATTATGTCTGCCAGAAATGGGGTATCTCTTTTTACTGTAGTTGTAAATATTTGTGGTTTTACGTGTGAGGAATGTCTTGTTTCTTTTTCACATTCTGTTCAAGCAGATGATGAGCAATATAATTACTTTGAAAGGTAACTATTATAACTGAACATTTAACTGAGGAAAATGGACTTCACACTCTTTTTCTTGTCTCATATTTGTGTGTTCATTTGGAGTTGCAAACACATTAGTACAGAGAGAGTTCAAGTTTATCACAGCGGTTGATAACCTTTTGAACCCCTGAGCTCTTCATGGTCTAAATAAATTCTACCTTTTGTACTTGTTATCATCTGTTAGCTAGAGGCCCAATTTTCTTATTTTTAAACTAAGGATGAAAGTCTTGTGCAAGTATCATTGTATTCCCAAAAGTTTTCTTGTTGTATGGCTCATTTTTTGGGGGAAAATAACGATACTCCAAACCAGTAAATTTCCCAAACTTTGCAAATATGTCTCTGTACTAGAAAGATGTGAAGATACAGTGCTTCGTTTATAGTTGTATGACCAGCCAGTTGGCTGGTTAGTTTCTTGGTTTTTTTTTTTCCTTCAACATTTCAGTCTTTTCATTTGAGTTTCTCCTCTTGGATGTTTATCAGAACAACATAAAAATATGTGATTGACATTTCATCTCCAAATAAGGTGTTTAGACTTACATGAACTCACAAAATTTCCTGGGGGCAGCTTGCAGACTGCCTCATGGACCTGGGTTTGGCTACAGTTTTAGCTATTAGGTTCGTTTTCATGCAAGTTAAATTGAGTTATAGTCAATGGTTATATCGCTAAGTGGTAACTATTTTCTTTCCTCCACCCTGTTAATACCAGAATTGCTGCTGTTTTGGCTGACATGGGACAAAAGATGTATGCATGGGAAGGGTGCTTTACTTTTCCTGTGAATGTCTTTTGTGCTTTCTTTTTCATCCTCTCCAAGATCAAGAGCTCCACAAGAATGCTTCTAAATTGATATTTCTCTAATGTTGTTTTGTATGAGTAAAATTATAACATTTCATAGCTGTTCCTTAACTGAAAAGGAATGACCTGATAGGATCTTCAGTAAAAAGGCTTAGAAGATTCAGAAAACAATGAAATGGACTTCCATGCAGGGAGCTATTCACATTTCTATGTAATGTCTTTGAATCCATTAATTTGTTTATGCTGCAACTTAGAATATGTTATTGAAAATACCACACATGACAAAGGCGAATTGAGTTTCGTTACTTGGATGTAATTATCTCACACTATGTGAAACAGCCTTTTGTCAAGAGCAAAGTAAAAGCGTTAAGCCTATTATAAGATCTCTTTTGATGTTTTTGTAGGATGGAATAAAAGATGAATGCTCAGTGCTGAAGCTGCAGCTGAAGGAGAGAGATGAACTCATAGCCCAACTTCGTGAGGAGCTGGTAAGCAGGAGAAGCAATTGTTTTTTTAAGTTCATTTACCTGATAATGTCACTCATGGAGACCAGAAACTAAAGAAATACAATTTCACACCTGCTACAGAATAGCTAGCCTAAGGCTATGTTAATCATTCAGATAAACACTGATAACACTGTCTAGATTTCTAGGGACTTGTCAGCCTCTGAAGTGGCTACTATCTGGATGCACTGCTAGTAGAAGTTTCTCTTAAAAGATTGTGTTGACAGTCGTCTTGCAGTATCAAAGAGGCAGAGAAGTAGCACAGCACTGTATGCATATGGCAGAAATCTTGAAGGGCCGTGCACTTGTCCTGATGAATTGTGAATACTTCTCCCATGAGCTGCTCTTCACATCCACAAGATTGTTCAGTAGAAAATGAAATACTTTTTTCTCCATAATAGATGTATTTTACATTAAATAAAACAATAAATATTCTCACGCTTGCTGAACCTTTCCTTTCCTTCCGTATAATTAAATAAAACAATAAATATTCTCATGCTTGCTGAACCTTTCCTTTCCTTCCGTATTTTTCCTGAGGTAAAATATGTGATATAGCAATTAAAAAAACCTAAACACATGAAAATGCATTTTATTGTCCTATTAAGACTGTGCTAACATAATTTTGAAATTCCATTTTTGATGGAACATGATTAAAACATGTATGTCTTCAGTAGTCTTAATTAAAGGAGACGGATTTTTCCACCTCCTCTCTCACAAACAGAGAACTTAAAGACTCTGCAGAGAAAACATGTAGGGTCACCACATTCAGGAAGGTGTTCAGCACGTACGTTGCTTCCATGGAAGTTGCAGGTGTGCAGGCACCTAAGATTTTGTATAAGCACCCTTTGTGAGGTGAGGTTGTTTCCTTAATTAGACCTTAATATCTGATCTAGCTCAGGGGCTTTTTGTGCCTCTCTGTCTCATGCCTGGTGGCTAGCTCAGAACCTGGACAGAATGAATTCAGGTCCACCCATTACTGCATCTTTTATATACTAACCAAAAACGCCAGTATATTTTTACACCAGCACAAATAGCTAGGTTTCAAGTTGCATGGGAAAAATGTAATGCTGCTCAAGGATGAAAGATTCCTTTGCTATATTAACATCTGCAAAATACATACAAGTCATCAATATTCTTTGTTTCATATTTGACTACATTAAGAAATGATGTATGATGTAATTATTATCTAAAATTAAATGACAAAATGGGACACAGGGAACATCAAGCTTCTGCACAGTCCTGGAGCATTAATTTTATATCAGTCTAGTTCAGAACATACGCTATTTAACTGGTCGACAGTTTTGTCAGTGTAAAATTATCCTGTATTGATACAGTGAGCTGTAGCTCATTTGCTGTTAACTGTTGTCAAAGTTCATCTGTATATATGTCAGTTGCAGAAGAAAGTCCCACAGGGAATTTAGTTCTCCTCATAATAGACAGAAAAGTACATTTTCCTAGGGTCATGAAATAAGGATTTCCATATGAGTGAAAATAAGTATCATGGATTTAATCCATGAGTAACTGACTTCAGTTTTGATACTCTAGGACTTGTAAAAGGGTACAGGTGGGAGCACATTTAGTCATTTGAAATTAAGTTTTGAAAGGACTCAGTATATCTCATTTACTTCTATTGAACTAAATAAAGCCAGATTGGGAGATGACTATGACAGAAGCTGGACTTAAGGTTATGAACCCTACTTAAAAAAAGTAGTGGATGCCCACAGGATTGGAAAAAAGGATTGTTGTGCGTACACATGACCATCAGTGTATTTTTTAACCTCTACTGTGTATTGTCCTGCAGTACTATTTATCTGTAAAAAGTTGGGGTTTTATTTTGTTTAAGGGTGTAGTGTTGTAAGAACTGCCAGGATTTCTAGAGCAGCTAGAATTAAAGTCACAGGCTAGTAAAAGAGCTCAGTAAAAAAACACTTAGAACTTGTGCCAGAACTGAACATTTTGACAATCTTCTGGAAACAAAGCGACTGTATTGCTTTGCCAGCATCCATGGGATCACTAAACTAAAGTCTACTTGTCAAAGGACCTCAGCAATCGAACAGGGGAAACACCAACTCAGCTTAGGCTTCTCTGAAGTTAGGCAGCTATGGAGCAGCTCTTTTCAACCACAGTTTTGATCTTAAGCATCTAAAAAGCCCCGATATACTTATAGTGAGCCCCTGTTGTTTCCCTCATGCCTGTAACGAGCCTGTATGAGGCTGAGGATGCAACTTGAAGTCCTCTGAAGACCAGCAGGGCTCCGGTCCCTCTGGCCACCACCTCTTGCACTGCACATCCAGCGTCCTCTTCATGGAGGTGCCCTGGGCCCTGCCACTACAGCACTGCTAAATATTGAGGCACGCCAAAAGATACACCCGGGGTTCCCATTCTCTGGTTTGCTCTGGGGCTTTTTGCAGGGCCTCAGGCCCTTGCGGAAAGCCCCTGCTGCAGCTTCGCTTGCTGTCCTGCTGGCTAAGGAAGCCACTCCAGGTGCCGGGCAGTTGTTGCGATCCCCTTTTTTGCATTTCTCTGCTTTCCCAATGAGAGCTTCATGCTGTTTGCTCCTCATTGCTGAGGTGCTTTAAGGAGCTGCATGTGGTAGACTGTTCAGGGAAAGTAAGCTCTTTTTAGAGCTGTTAAAAATGAAGTAAATTTGAAATGATCGCTAGAAAATGCTGATAAAAATGTTTTCTTCACTTACATAAAATCAGCCAAAAATTGATGCAAAGCATGCTTTAATATTCTGCAAATCCTATGGTTATTTATGTGTCTGTAAGACTAAATATTAGGAAAGTGAATGTTTGTAAGAGATAAGTAGAACAGTAATTTTTGGCTAATGAAAGTGTATGCCTTTTCACTTAGCTACAATATATTGTGACATAGCACTTGATGGATAACTACCATTTTTATTCTTCTGTCTTAGGGCAACCCATGTTCAGAACATTGTCATTCTGAATACAGAAATTTAACAGTTGTAAATACAACCTGCCTGTCTTAAAATCCTGGCATTATTACGTTAATTCAGAGATAGCACTTTAACATAAAAATCAACTTGAGTGGGAGTCGGTTTTGTACTTCTTGAGAGACGTATATGAAAGTCTGTACTTTTGTTGTGGTTTTCCATTAAGTTGGATGCTTGCATGTAGGTTTAAAACACCTGGTTAGTTAGTTTTTCTGCAGAACTCTGCAACTAACCTAAAGCGTACTTCAGGTAAATTTTGGCTCTTCAGAAGCTTTTGTTTCTTTCTTTTCTCTAGTTTTTCTAGAGTTTTCTAGTAGTCTTCCCCTCCTGCCTTTGATCTTTTTAATTTTCAAATACTTTTTAAAAAGTATTTCTACCATATTTGAGTGCATTATGAAGGAGACCTTTAACAGAGCTGATGGTGGAAAACATTGATGGAGTGCGAGCTGACCTGCTGTAAATTGATGAAGCTGCAGAGCACCTGCAACTGTTCTCTCTCCTAATTGCTATCTAGCTCTTGAAGGGAGAAAAGGGTAAATCTTTGAGGAATGAAAATAGGGGTTTAGATGTTCAGCTACAAGACCCAGGTACAAAAGATAAAATGCAAGGAGCCCTCACCTATCTCTGAGCAAACAAAGAAGAACTTAGAAAAGTAGTCCCTCGCCAGTTTTTTTGGTTTGTTCTCTTTTTGATGATAATGTTGGATTGACTCCCTTGGTCACCAGAAGTGTGTCTGTCATCTTTGGAGGAATAAATATAGGTAGACACAGCAGTGGAATTAATTCTTCTGTTCTCTTATTATCTCCTGAAAAACACCTGTTTCAGGAATTGTAGGAGAGTTTGGCTTCCAAGATGTCAGGCATCCAAAACTGCTCTAAAGTTCTTTGGAAATGGTGAACCTGAGCAGGAACTTAAAATTTGGGTTCAAAGCATTGCTTTGTCTCAGTGCTGTACTCGTTCGTGAAAATATCTTCTTACCCAGACAATCAAAGAAATGAAGTGAGTCCATTCTGCAGGGTTTGGTAAAAGGAGTCATTTGCTTGCTCTTGTTCTCTTTTTCCCCCTAAAATAAAAAAAAAATAAATTAAAGTCTCAGTTTTCATTGGACACAGAAAGATGTTTGAAACCTCAACTGTCTCCTACCAAGCTCTACCCTGAAACTGCATCTATGCGTACCTTTTACAAATCAATCTTTTTCCGCTGCAGCGTGAGCACTTAGGATGACTTTAAGCAGAAAATATTTTCAGGGTATAGTAGCAAAAATAACGGAGTGCTGCTTACAGTAACATTTATTCTACTGCTGTCACTGGTACAGCAGCATTAACACTGAAAAATGAGCGTTAACAACATTATCCTTTCAACCTTGATGTCCCTGTGTAACTTGAGTCATGTGTTGTCCCATCGAAATGAAAAATGTAGTGAGGCGGTTTGGGTGGATTGTGAGTGGAGGTGGAGGCAAAATTAGGTTAGGAAATGAATCCCCCTTATAGCCCAGCTGGTGGAGGTATTTTTCTGCTGTGGAGGTGGCTCTTTATCAAATGTTAGACTTTACATTTATGGAATGGCTAGGTACAGTGCTAGCTAAGTGAGCTTTACCTCAAGCTGTAGAAATTAATGCTTTAGGACTAGATATTCTAGAATCAGCTCAACAAAACATAACTGCTCTTTGTTTTTGTTTTATCTTTGCAAATTGTAAACAAGTTCTACTTCCACATCCAAAACCTATGTTAAATTATTTTAAATTATTTGGGGGGGGGGGGGACGACAGGTTTGTGGTGTTTGGTGGGGGGGGTTGGTGGGGTTGTTTTGAGTTTTTTGGGTCGTCCCCCCCCCCAAATAGAGTGTATTCCTGGAGGGCAGAAAGATGGCAAGCTTAGCTCTTTCCTGTAGGTTGATTTCAATAATGGGCAATTAGCCAATTGCTGCAGTTTTGAAGTACTGTGAAGATGAGTACTTGTTATCCAGCTTTGAAGTGTAACAGAAAGCCTGAGATGCACTTAAATCCTACTGATGAACTGTTTATGAAAGA